TGTGTGTATGCTGGTGGATATAGATTGATGGTCTGATGGTGTAGCAAATGGAAATGCAGTGGCAAGAGCAGATGTTTAGTGTTGAAAATGATGAAATATCAAGGCAATGGAAAAGGGTAAAACAGTAAATAAACAACAAATAAAATGATAAGTAGATAATCCCCACACGACAAGCTTCCACTAGAATGAATGGTAGAGATTGATTTAAGGAATGCTAAACTTATCTCTCTGGTAGATTTAAGCTATCTAAACTCTACTTGCTCAACAGTGTTTTTCGAAAGTGTTCCTACTATCTCTAGTCAAAGGAACCTAACAGAATAGGATGTCATGACATCTTCTCTCACTTAACGATGATGACAGCCCACACTATTGATAAAAATACCTTTTTAGTCATTGAAATCCTATCCTAGTCTCTCTCGAGTACTAAGGGATTAGGATATAGTATTCCTAGACCGGTTCAAAGCCCATTGAAAACACTATAGCCCATTGCTTATGAGGATTTTATCTTGTGTTTCTCTCGAATACAACAAGTATTTTTAGCTTAGGTTTCTCTCGAACACCTAACCTTCATTTAAGAAACGGACACTCTCATGCCTCTTACAAGCCTATATGGTGAAGTATTATAAGCAAAGCAAGCAAATAACCAAGATAAACAAAAATCTATCATTAAATAAAGTTTAAACAACCATTAGAACAACAACTACCAAATAAATTAGTTCATGGTGGAGTTCGAAATATCCATAGAACAAGCCATAAAATATTCGTTCCAACAACCCAAAAATAATATAAAAATAACAGCAAAAGGGAAGTGAGAAGAAGCTTTCGACGCACGCCACCGGAGGTCTCCTCGACCACCACAAACCACCTTAGCTCGCTAGCTCCTCTCGGACTTATCTCGCCACTCCTTGGAGCTTTATCAATAGAGGAAAACCCAAGGAAGAATAAGGGAAAAGGAAAATAAAAATGAGATTTTTTTCTGTTCTGCCCTATGCGTGTATTGTATCTCCTCTCTCTCTCTAATGAGGTGTCATATATAATAAAAATATCTAGGGGTAATGATGAGATTGTTGGGTGATGTTGGGTGCAAAATACCCCTCATACCCCTAGAATCACACCATATGCGTGAACCTTATCCTCCAGGTGGCAATGGTCCTCTGGCAGGCGGTTACAACAATTATTTCACGTGCATAGCCAACTGTCCTCGTACAACTGTATCTTTTTGTCATTTTCTGTGCCAGAAATGCCAAGGCATTTCAATCTGCTTCAGCCACGTGTGATGCCGCGGCATTACTTTCCAAAGACTCCTTTTGCTTGCTATTCCCTGCACACCACAATGAACTGTACATTTCTCTCATACAACACCTTTAAGAGATAAAATAGCACTACCACTACAAATGCAACTATATGATCCTAAAATGACTAAAATGATCTTTTAAACAAACAATAACTTAAGTGAAAAAGACTTTAAAAGTAGCCTTTCTAGGAAGTTAACAATAGTCGATTTAAACTTAATCATAAATTTTATAAGTATATGTATATATTAGGATAGAAAGAGAAATAAATTGAATGACAACAATTAGTAAGATCTTATTGGAAAATAAAATAACATTCAAAATTAAATGAAGATTTTATGAAGATCTTATTGGAAAATAAAATAACAATTAGGATATTTGGGTATGTTTTGGTTAATTTTCGAAATAAAAATGGTAAATTATGGGTAAAGGTAACAGTACCGATATTTCAAGGCAAAACTAGTTGAACTTGAGGATCAGTATCGATACTGATTAAAGAAGGTATCGATACTGAGATGGGGGTATCGATACCAAGAGTAAAGTATCGATACCATTATCGAGTATGAAATTCCATAATACCAAAATGGTATCGGTACCGAAGTGGGTATCGATACCATAAAATGGAAGTATCAGTACTGTAGGAATGGTACCGATACTAGTGCGCTTGAAATGGTGAATTAGGTATTTCTTTCAGCTTAATTTATTAATGATTGGATATAAGCAATATGAACTTCAATATTCATTTCAATTGTATTATTGTGTAGACATTGAACGAAGATAAATTCTGAACGATTCAACGTTATAGGTTATCGATCAAAAGTGATAAGGATTTCATTTAGGACTTCAGTGAGGCAAAGGTAAGTGCAACTTATTTGTTTTATATTAGATTCGAGGGTGACTTGCGATAAGTCAACCTCAGAGTTTTCTATCGAAAACCTTTCAATTTATTTTATGTTATATTTTTACAATGTTTTATTCAAGTTATATTACTTAAGCTATGTTTTGATGTTTATGTGTACATGATTATTAAAATGTGATATGTGGATATGTGTATACGAAAATGCTAAATGTGAAAGCGCCTATGTGAATAAGATACACTCTGAATAATGAAATGATAAATAATTATGTGGTTAAAAGCCCAAGGTATATGTATGAGGATTAGAGGTATAGTTGCATGCCAAGAGTCAAGGGTTCTATGTGGTCCTTCGGGACAAGTATGTGGTAATTTGGTGCAAATTATGTGAGCAGTGGTGACAACATTAGTACACAACCTCAATGTACTCAAATAAATAGAGTTCTCAGTAGTATACATTGGACATTTGAAAACAAAGTTATATAAATCGAACAATGTATAAAAGTATACATTCTTGTTATGAAAAGTAATTTGAATCCCTTATGAAATGTTTCTATGAAATGAAACAAATATTTCGTTTACAAAGTTCTATTTGGCTCGTACTTGCCTCACTAAGTCAACGACTTAGCCTGTGATTGTTTCACACGTAGGTTTGAAGAAAACATAAGGTTGAAGCTAGACGAGGATAGAATACACCCGCAAAGATCAAATCAGAATAATTTAAAATGTAGGTTTCTTATTATTTTGTAAACGGTTGGCATGTACTATAAGTTTTAAATTGAAAAGCTCTGATCTCTTTTGTAATCTTATACTTTTTGTATTTATGTAAATTACTAAGTCATATATTTAAATGTGAATGTGAGTTTTTATTAATTATTTTAAATTCAAGGGTTCTACCATTTTTAATACAAATAAAAGTTTAAATTTTCCCTTATTTTTAAGATTCGAGAATTTAACATGTTAATGTGACACCTCGGGCTCGTATCCGGGTCGGGTACGGGTTAGGGGTGTTACAGTCAGTAATTTTAAAGAGAGTGGGTAACTTGAGACATAAAAAGAAAAGAATTAAGTGCAACTCTGGAATCCGGAAATTGTGGAGGTTTGGGATTTGGAAAACTAATGAAGCACACTAAATCACTAATAATGGTGCCTCACATGGAGGGTTTTGTGTTTTCACATGGTCAATAATGTTAACTTAATCGGCAAACAACATTTCTTAAATGAAGATTTTAATTATTCTGCAGATACACGCCTATATGCATCAATATGCGCATGCATGCATGGTCTGCTATCTATAATCTTTGACAGGCACAGATGAGCACAAAGTGTTCTGCAAAATAAAACCCTGAGAAGAAAATACTAAAAACACATTCGAATTCCAAGTATCTATAACTTCACCTTAGAATTGTTTTATTCGCTTTGAAGGGATTTTCATGCTTGACTTCAACCCAAGTAAAAGGATTCGATGTTATCCAAGTGAATTGTACTAATTTTCTTGCCGGTAAGTCCTATTATCCATTATTACTAGATTAGTGCTAAAGCTTGCTTCCTTCCTCCTGGTATTTAAACCCAGCTGGTAAAATTTCCAAGTTTCCAAGTCCAGTTATATAGTTGAAATTTGGGACATATGGGAGGCCAATAGCCTGCATTTTCCTATATATATACACATACTTCCCTATCTCTCATATATTACCATACTGATCAAGATTTTCATAAGGATCCATGGAGTCTGCTAGTGCTAATCTCAAAGGATGGAATTTTTGGGTGCCTGCATCTTAGTTTATCTTAATTCATAAGGTTATGTTGCGTTTATCGTGATTATGTCAATAGCGAGTGTCAGCAATCATTGTAAGTATCGTTGTTATGAAATAATGATTTTGGACAACACATTTACCGTTATTACCGTTATTCTCTTACCATTTAGCCAAATGTTATCTTTTTTGTTTTATTATCTTCAATTATTAATTAAGCGCAACCTTTTAAATAAACACTCGGTACATTTTGGGGAGAACATTTTCATTGCTATATGATAGGCTTTTAAAATCATTTTAGCTCACCATCAACTACATGCATTACCATTTGGAGAATTTCCATAGCTAGCATATGCCATTTTGTTGTTTTCCCATTTTTAGTAACTCAGTGGGTTCAATGTCATGGAATGAAGTTTAAAATAGGGTTCATATTAGCTTGAGGTGCAAAAGGACTATTCTTCTTCACACGTACGATAATATTTACAGCATGATAATAGTTTTCAATATAAACGAGGAGAAGCCTGAAAACGTTGATTTACTAGTATAGTTGAAAAATAAATGGCCTTCACCTTTGAACATAAATGTACTACTACTAGTACAGCTAAAAAGTTCGACCTCATCTCAAAACTTACTTGACTTTATTAGCTTATGAAACCCTAACCCTAAAAATCACTCAAATTGATTTAAATTCAAAAGTGAATAGAATTTGAATTTAATCTGAATTATTAATAGTTCGATTCTAAAATGATCTAATTAAATAATTAAAAAAGTCTAAATCCAAAGTGATTGTAACATAAAGTGTTTAATGGTATAACTAGCAAATATATTTTTAAAGGTGCACTAATCCAATTCAAGTGGCCCAATAAAAAGGGTAAAACGTTGGTTCTCAATTCAAGCCAATTTTCAATTTATGAGTGGGCTCTGTTCCATTAAAGCCCAATATTAAAATTCGTAAGGAGACAAATGAGGGCCTACACTTGATAGATAGGTTGATACATGTCTGCAAGAAAGATTCTGAAGAGACAAAAAGCAAAACCTACCCTTTTCCCTCCAAAAACCACCGCCTTTTACGTTCCTCTCTCACTACCAACAGAAGCCAAGAAAAAGAAGCAGTCTCTGGTGCAACAATGGCTGGGCCGTTTTCTTTCTTGACTCGCAAGAAACCCACCGCAATCCCTTTCAAAGACTACTACGACAACTGGTTCAACACTCTAACCGACACCCTCCTCCCTCTCCTCCATCAATCCCTCTCATCTCCCTCCCCTTCCCTCATCCCCTTCCGCCGTGACCTCCTCCTCCAACACTTCCTCTTCTACTACGACTTACTCGACCTTGCTGCCTCCGACGATGTTTCGCAGATTCTTTTCCCCTCTTGGCGTAACTCCCTCGAAACCCCATTCCTTTTCCTCGGCGATCTCCACCCTTACCTCTTCACCAACCTCCTCCGCTCATTCATCGACGCAGCCAACAACGAGGCTTCAATCCTCGAAAACCCTGACTCCATCGATAAACCATGGCAAGTTTTGACTGCTTGGATGAATCCACCCAAGAAGCTGATCCTACGTATGGAGCAGATCGAATGCGGGTTAAGGCTGATGGTTCCCCCACTTGTTTCTCGAGTGAGGAACGTGCAGGCAAATTTTGTGGGGAAAGTTGCAGAGAAATGGGCGAAGAAGAAGGGGATAAAAGAGGCTGTGAAAGCAGAAATGGAGGAAATGTTGGATGTGTTTCTGGGGGCAAACAGGTTGAGGAGGAGTGTGATCATCGAGATTGTGAATGCAACGGATGTGTATCAAGGTGCTTTGTTTCTTCAAGGCTTAGCCCAATTTCTTGTTGGGTTTAAAGACCAGGCGTCACTTGCTGAGTTTCAACGATGCAAGATCCCCATCAATGGAGGAACTCACTCGGATTTTTGAGGTTTACGGTTTACCACTAACCATTTCCATGTTCTTTTGCTTCAAATGTATAAAATTCGATCGTGGTTGTAAATTTGTACTACTTGTCTCGGATTTAAATTGTAGTTACAGACACATTTTTAATCTCATTGTGTTTATTGTAATTGTGATAATAATATGTGTTATTACGGTCATTCTAAATATCGAGGTTATGAAATAACGATATTGAACTATATTTTTACCATGATATAACGTCTGCTATTCCAATATGGAACTGCTATTTCACACAGCCTTTCCAAGCTTCTTTGCTTTAACTGTTGTTGCTTGAATGAATTTGTACCTAGTTTCAAATGTGTAAAAGTTAGATCGTAGTTGTAAATTTGTACTAGGTGTTTGAGATTTAAATTACGGTTGCATTGTGTTTTTTGCGATTGCAGTAATAACTGGTTTTATTACGGTTACTTCTACGTATCACAGTTATAAAATAATGATTTCGAATGACATTTTTATTACTATTCCAATAACAGACAGCTATTTACAATCCCGGTATTTCACACACATTTTCAAGCTTCTTTGCTCAAGTGTTGTTGCTTGAATGAATTTTTACCAAGATTTCAAATGTGTAAAATTGTATCTTGGTTGTAAATTTGTACCAGTTGTTTTTATAGGGGATACATGAACTTTATATGGCTTCCATTGAACATTTTTGCTTAATCCTTTCTGTATTAACAATTTAATTACTTCTTCTGTTAAAAACATTTGAACTCAATTTAACTTTCATTCTATAATTTGATTTCTTTATCAAATCCTGTATATTAGTATCACAAAATGACATCAATGTGTGATTTCGTCTAAGGTGATGTTTGTTTTTACTGTGTAAGGTCTGCAAAGCTCTTATGTCTGCGGCGCGCAGACCACGCGCAGACATTGAGCTTCGCAGACCGTTTGTTTTTTAGAAGACAAAAGCTCTTCTAACGTCTACGCGTGGTCTGCGCGGCGCAGACGTGGTCTTATGTCTGCAGACATCTTCTAACCTCTTCAAAGAGGTTTTATATTTATTTTTATATTATATTTGATTTTAATTTTAATATTATTTTTTAAATAAATTAAATATTAAATTTTTAATATTATATTATAGATATTAATTTTAATATTAATTTTTTAAATAAATTAAATATTAAGTTTTTAATATTATATTATAGATATTTAATTTTATATCATAAAAATTATTTTATATATTATTAAAATTTTATATTTATTTTAATTATTTTGATTTAAGTTTAAATATAATATTTTTTTGGATTTGTTATTTTTAAATTATATTTAAAAATTTTATACAAAATGTAAGTATTTAAACTACATTGCTTAATAAAAAATGATTTCATTGTTTGATAATTAAGATTTTAAAATATAAAAAATTATAAAATATGTTTTTAAAATTTTAAAATATAATCACAATTAAATAAAAAATAATCATAAAATAATTTGATAAATTAAAAAATTTTTCTAAAAATATCATATAATTATAAAAATAAATTATGAATATATATTTTAAAAAATTAAAAGTATTACATAATTGCATATTTAAAAAAAAATCATATAATTTAATGATCATTTATAAATTTTATTCTATAAAACTTATAAAACTAATAATACTTGTGATTATGTGAGACTTATAATAGAATTAATAAGGTGGTGTTTGTTTTTCTAAAAAAATTATTATTGTAGTTGTATGAATTATTTAAATTTCAGTATTGTAAAACTAAAATTATTTAAATCTCAGTATTGCAAAACTCTTTTAAGTTTAAAAAATCAGTTTATTTATATTTCAGTTTATTTTAGCAGTCTGCAGACATTAAAAAACAAACAGTCTTCTTCTTGTAGACTGCAGACTTTTGGTTCACCTCTTCTGCTGCAGATGCCTGCAGATGTGGTCCGCAGACTGCAGACCTTTTATCTCTGCAAAAACAAACACCACCTAATTATAATTATCATTTGTTTTTATGAGAGAATTTAGTTTTTATATTTTAATTTGGCACATATAATATGTCTCCATCCCATATTAGTTCCAGGCCACTTTGTTTTAAATGAAAGATGCAATTGATAAAATAATATATTTTTACATTCTTTAATATTTTTCTGTTCTATATTGTATTTTTTAATATTTTTATTCCAATTATTCTTTTTAATATATTTTCTTTTTCTTCTAAATTTACTATAGTTTTTCCTATAATATTTTTTATTAATCTTCCTATATTTTTTATTTATTTTGGTAATAGGTTTGCTTCTCTTCTTTTTATAATTTCTTCTATAGATTTTATTAATTTCTTCTTTATTGTTAATATTGTTGCAACCATATTTTTTAGGTTACCTGAAACAAATCGAAGACTGTCCCGTATTCAGAATCCACACACGTCATTTCACTTCCCTCACAGCGTTGTGACTCTATCTTGCCCCTTGTTAAGTACTTGCCCGCTCTGCCTACCCCTTGCCCAAGCTACCCTACCATGATGAACCCCAAGTATACCTTTCCTTTTGCCGTCTCTCTCTCTCTCTCTCTAAAAATCGATCAAAAACAGTTTTTTCTCTATTCTCTGTCGATTTTCTCTCTCTTTTTAATTTTTTAACCATCTTTTTTGTTCTTCCATAGATCGAAAGGCAGCTTATGAAATCGAACTTGGTGGATGGATCTGAGATTGAATTAGATTGGGTAATCGGGAGAAACGCGATCCAAGGGAATTAGGGTTTTGAATTTGAGATTGAGGAAAGTTAGGGTTTGGTTTAGGGGGATTTTCAGAACATGGTGAAAGGTAGGTTTTTGTACGGATCAAGGGTTCGAATTTTGTGAGAAAGAGGAGGAAATTGAAGATAGTGAGACAATGAGGTGGCATTGATGATACTCGAAGGGGAAAATGCAAGGCTATGCATGGACGGGAGAAGTGAGGGGAGGAAAAAGTCCCTACACGTGCAACGGCTGGTCTGAGTGGTGATGGTGTGCTTCGCTCTTCTTCTTCATTAACGTTGATTTCATTTCAAAGGTATAGCTTTTTAAAACATTTTCTTCAACTTTGATTTGATTTTATTATGTTTTCTTTTATTATATCAGTTTTTATTTCCGTTTTTTTGTCTTCGGGTGATTTGAGGAGAGATGTTTTGCTAGATTGATTTGGAGGAAATAGAGTAAGGGATTCAATTTGTCCTGTGGGGATTTTGAGATGGTGGCTTGACTGGTGGTGGAAAGCGTGGAAGGTGGAATTACTCCTGATATTCTTGGATTTTATTGCTTCGGTGTTGAATTAGCTGGGGTATTGATTAGTAAGAAGGCATTTAACTTTTTATCTTTCGGGTAGATTGTTTGTTTGAGGTGCAAGTGTAAGAACTTTTGGCTTGATTTTTTGACGTGCACAGTGTTTCAGTTCTGGGAAGCGGTGTCTTATCTTACATTATACTTTAAGTAGTGATTGAGAGGAGTCTGTTTCCTTGGCTCAATTTACATTTTTTAAAATATTTTTGTGCGCAATACCAAAATGGTTTAGTTTTCTGTAATTTATAATTGCGGACTTTGCGGAGAAGTTGGTTAGCATGCAATGGCGTGTTTCTTCTTTGTCCAATGTGAAGGGAAGAAGTGTTTGGGAGACATATATTTAGATACAGCATAGATCAATGTGTATGTGCAGAATTATGGGAGTTTGCCTACTATTAAGGAGAAGTAATCACCATCATTATTGTTCTTCGAAATTTGGGAAAAATTTCCAAAGTTAGGACAGCCCGGACATTAAACTTTCTGGAAAGGAATCAGTTTCTGGATAATCATTTTTGAGGCAGAGAAATAATCACCAGGTTTATAATTCAAAATACGGGAAATGTTGCGTATATTTTGAACAGTTTGGAGCATGAAGTAATATTTCCATTGGGAAATAGTTTCTGTTATTTATTAGTGATGGAGGATTGGCAAATATTTTAATGTAAAGATCTGATACTCGTACTAGACATAGAGACTTTTCTATTGCCTAGGAATTAGGAAGGAAGAAAGTGTATAATGTTACATGTGGTGGATTGGCATATGCAACGAGTTTGACTTCCTTAAATATTACAAGTAATAATACATATTAAAATCTTTAACTCGATTCATATACTGGCAGCATTTTTTTATTATGCTACCACTGATGGCCTTGGATGCAATAAATGCAATATTTGTTTCTTAACTTGAAGCATATAAGTCTGTTTCATATTCATGGTTTAACCTACATGAATATGAGTAAGAAGATATGAGTTTTTTTATGCCTGATGGTGTCTTGGTTAAATTATAACAAAATGTATGCAGGTAGAGTCATATCTTATCTCTAGCCTGTAATATGATAATTAGTCTATAGAAATGTATTAGCATGTTGTCAATTGAGCCATTTATGATGATAAAGTGCATCTTAAACATATCCTAGGATTTACTGAGGAATGTATGATATAACTATTGAACACACAATATGTGAGTAGAAAAATTATCCTTTGCGGTTCTAAATACAAGTATAGTAAGCTTTGAACATATCTGAATTGCTGTAAGTCCTTTTTGCTAATGGTGCAGTCTGATGACTTAGGAATTGTTTTTGTGCAATTGGTTCTAAGTTGTATTGTAATGATACTGAAGTTATGGTTTAATATCAGTTGGAGCTTTTCATCATCTGATTGTGAATTTACTGCTGAGAAAAAAATTGTTTAGAAGTTGACCTGTCATGCTCTATATGGTGTTAAATGCATCTTTTTCTATACCTATGAATCTCAGAAGGCTTTCTTATATAATAAAGGTGTGTTATTGGAATCACAACATATCTGAATGGTGGAACACTTGCCTTCCTATTTGTTATAAATTCCTCTTTTTCTCACTGATAAAATTTGCAAACATGGATACTTTACTACTTTATTGACACTACCTGTTTTCGTCCTGATATGATGGATGCAGGATTAGTGTCAGTGACTGTGCTCTCTTCAAACCACTCCAAGATTCTGCACTGCTGCTCCTCTCTTTG